CAATTGAGTGGTATTCTAGCAATCTTGTCCAGAGTAAATTTTTTTAGATAATGGTCTTGCATTTATAGCTGAGGCATTTCATGTTTTGATGTCTCAATTGGGGATACGCCACACTTTCACAAGTGCTTATCATCCACAGCCAGATGGTTTGGTGGAATGGCTTGTTTGGACATTCAAAAGGATAATTATGAAATACGTGAACTTTTAGTCTTCAGATTATGATGGTTATTTGCCATTTATTTGATATGTGTATATCATAGGTGGGAAGTTTTATTAGTGCTCCACTATACAAAGTCTTATATTGTCATGATTTGATACTACCAATGGAGTTGAGTTTACCTTGGTAATTGTTAAGAGCTATTGATCTTAAGTTTTAGGATCAGTATTTTATGAGCATTCTTCCACTTATCCAAGTAGAGTTTCTTGAACATTTGGGCCATATACAAGTGGGACAACAATGGTGCTACAATCCTATCATCATCCACTTGTGGAGTACAAAGTAAATGACTTAGTGTTAGTCTATTTTCCCAAATTTATGATATATAGTTTATCTAAGGTATTCCTTGCTTAGTGGAAGAGACTGTATCAGATGTTGCGGCAAGTTGGACTACAAAATTATGAGGTTTGGCATGATATTTAATAGGCTAATCCTCTAAAAATTATGCATATTCAATGGTTAAAATGCCTTGTATAAAGGGATTAAGAATAATTGATACCACATATAGATTCACTGATGCCTCCTTTTGATGTTCCTCCACATCCTGGCTCATCCATAAGAGAATTGTAATTATCTTCCATCATTTCGAGAGAAGGGGATGATATGAGGTCTAAGTGTATCACTATAACGTCGTATATTAATATTAATATAGTAGGATTTTTATAGCTATCGGATTGGTTTAATCAAGATCACTCACTCTTGTATATAAGTTAGGGTTTTTGGGCTAATTGATATACATATTTTTGTATTTCATTTCTATATTCTAATTGATATACACATTTCTATATTCCATTTTCATATTCCATACACTCACAGAACTATTATAACAGGTATTTATAAATCATTATTCATGATGCTTAATTTTAGAAATAAAATTAACTAAAATAAAACTTATATCTAAACCACTAACTTACATATTCACTAGAGATATCAAAATAAATTAAATTAAATTATAAAAACTTTTTATTAAAATTTAACATACTAAGTATATAATTATGATGCCATATATTAATATTAGCATGGTGGGATTTTTATACCTGTTAAACTGGTTTCAATTCAAACCATTCACTCCTATATATAAACTAGGATTTTTGGGCTAATTAATATGCATATTTTTATATTCCATTTCCATATTTTATACACTTACATTGATGGAGGTGAAAGACAACTTTGATTGTCTCTAGGAAGTGCTTAGTTTTGGGATTATGGTTTAAATATAACTTTTGCATTGTTAAATGTAACTTTTTTGTAACTTTTTTTATTTTATATTTCTTTTTCATTCATTTTTATGGCAGAGCAATAGCCTCCTCCTCCTTTAACTCTAGAGTAATAATTGATGCAATTGCTTAATGTTATATGGTTGCAATTGAATAATCAAACTCAGCTAATAATGGTATTTATAGCGTAATACAACTCCTCCTATTGTTTAATCACTTTATAGTGATTATTACCTATCATTCTTATGATGATGCTCAACATTTATATAAGTTTCCCACATGTCTCTAAGAGACGGCATTATAGTGGTACAATAGTTTGACCCTAACTCTTGTGCTGATTGGAGCATTCTCCTATGCACATTTGGACATGTTTATGATTATAATAATGTTTTCCAACAATTGCATCATCTTTGTCACAAGCTATTTGAGTCAGTGATATAATTTGGAATTTGCCTTTTGTTTTATGCGGAGTCAAATATGTTAGAGTGAATCAAGTTAGGAATGGTGTGGCCAATAGTTTGTTAAAAATCTTGTAGGACTTGTATATGCAGTTGCTCCAACCACTTTTGACAATGCTTTTTAATTAATATAATATTATGAAATATCATCTCTTTCAATTATCGTTACACACCTTTTATCTCCACTTCTTGTGGGAAATAGTTCTATTCCAATGGAGGTTGATACTATTGTTGCTTATGTTCAAGAACAAGGGCGATAATATGGTTATGAGAAACTTGTAAATATTCTAAAATTCCCAACTCTGAAGTGTGTCAATAATATGCTATATTTTATAGGTAAGGTGTAATATCTCAATATTTTTGTTGATCATCTTTTTGATCATACCGCACTATTATAAGTATTATTGAAGTGGTCAATATCATCTTTCATATAGTCTATAAAGGCAAAGAGTTGTTGATGACTCTTGTAGTTTTGGTGTATCCTGACTACATTTGATTTTTTATTTTACATATAAATGTTTTTTATATTAGTTTTGGAAGTGTGTTGATGAAAAAGAGCTTAATTATGCTTAATCAATGCCATCCTATTGCATATATCAATTATACTTTACAACTAACAGAGATGAACTACTCCACAATAAATAAAAAGTGTTTAGTAGCAATTTAGAGTTTCAAAAAGCTTTATGCATATTTGTATGGTCCTCAGACATTACTATAAAGTGATCATGTTGCAATTACCTTATTAATGAAGTGAAAGAACTTTGTTGGTTGTACTGCTCGATAAGCCTTGAAATTTCAAATATAGAATTTTTAAATTGTTCATCATTTGGGGAATTTTATAGCTGATATTGATACTCTTTCTTGAACTCCTCCCTTCATTCTCTTCTCTTGTTCTTCACAAGCTTAATGTTTCAGTATTAGTGGATTTTCTGAATAAAGATTCCTTTATCAACAATTGTTGTATATAATGTTTAAGGTGTAGAGTAAGATTTACCTTCTCTTGACAACATTCATGAAGCTCAAAAGGTTGAGCTGTGGATCTGAAAGTTTCATGAGAAGTTTGACAATCTTGCATACTTACTAATGAATTGTTATTTTGATATTTACACTCTCAATATCACCTTATAGATAGCCTTCTTTATTTTATTGGGATTAATTTTGATGATCATTTATGGTTGGTGGTGCCTTCAATATTTATTTTATGCTTTCTCTATGCTTATCATGACTCTCCTATTCAAGGCAGGCATATAGGACATTAGCGTATGACTAAAAAACTACATAAGTCTTTCTATTGGCCAAAAAAATAACATTATATTATCTAGTATGTGTTGTGTTTAATGCCAAATTTATAATACTCCCCCTTATGTTGTAAAAGGATGGTTAGAGTCAATTGTAATTTCCTGTCTATAGTTGACTATTTGCAATGAGTATGTCATTATTGCCTTTGACTATTTGACTCATTGGGTGGAAATTAGTGCTCTTACTAATATGTTAGCAATTGTTGTTGAGTACTTCCTTCTCAATCAAGCAGTGTTCAAACATTCCTATTTAAAGTAAATTCTTTCGAATAATGATTTTGCATTTATGGCTGAAGCATTTTATGTTTTAATGTATCAATTGGGGATATGCTATACTTTCATGAGTATTTATCATCCATAGATAGATGACTTGATAAAATGACTTGTTCGAATCTTGAAAAGGATGATTATAAAGTACGTGAAGTTTCAGCATTTAAATTAGGATGGTTATTTGCCATATTTTTAGTATACGTATGTCATAAGGAAGAGAGTTTTATTAGTGTTGCACTATATAAACTCCTATATGGTCATAATCCAATACTACTAATAAAGTTGAATTTATTTTCATGATTACCATGAGTTGTAAATACTAAGTTCTGGGATCACTATTTAATAAATATTCTTCTACTTGTTTGAGTAGAGTCTATTGAACACTTAGGCTACATATAAATACAAAAACAAAGGCTCTACAACTCCTATCATGATCTACTTATGAAGTATAAAATGAATGACTTGGTGTTAGTTTGTTTTTTCCATCTTTGGGTATGTGGTTTGTTTAAGGGGCTTCTTGCTAAATTATAAATATGTAATTAAATGCTTTATCCAAAGAGATCATAAATAACTAACACCATTTACAGATTCACTAATGCCTCTTCTTGATGTTCCTCTAAATCCCATTCTTTCAGCTAAAAAACTTTAATTACCTTTCATCCTTCCAAAAGGAGGGGATGATATGAAGTCCAATTGTATAGTTATGATGCCATATATTAATATTAATAAGGTTGGATTTTGAAATTGATTTCAATCTGGACCACTCAATCTTATATATAATGTAAGGGTTTTGGGCTAATTAATATGCACATTTCTCTATTCCATTTCCATTCACATATTTAATATTAAGTTAAATTATTTAAGTCTTATATAAGAGAGATATCATATCTTTAATATCAAAAACTAAAGATATACAAAGTAAATATCTATATCATGTATATATCTATATTACATTAGTTTTTAGTATTTTCTAATGTTTAAATAAGAAAATATTAAATTTTATTTTTTTGAAATAATTTATTTACAATTATATTTAAATTTTTGAATATACTGTACTACATTTGTTAGATATGTATTTGTATTGTTTTAAAAATACTTTATTTATTTAATTAGAAGTGTCCAAGTTCCCAATCTGGGGTAAAACTTGCTTTGTGACTATGTTAGAGCTTTGGCAGCATAAGTTAATGCAACCATTAGAGTTCCTAGAGAGCAACAATCGGTTCTTAACTTTGTGTAGTACATGTGCCAGCGGCCAAAGTCTGGGCAATCACAGTCCAGAGCGTCACATTGTACACATTCCCAGTGGCACTGAAGATGATGAAACTGCTCAAAGGCGCATGAGATCTCCACGAGGGATAGATAGATCTGCATTGATAGAGCCTCAGAGTCAAGTCTTGTTGCTTCTTGCCACCTGACCTGACTTGTTTGTGAAGAGGACCAGCCGTCTTTCTGGGATGCCGTGGAAGGAGATTGTGTCTGGGTCGCATTGAAAATATAATTTAAAATAACGACGGTTTAGGGTTTAGTGGGGTTTAGGGTTTGGAATGAGGAGAGCGATCAAACGGCGGTTAGAATGGATGGCGCACCGGGTGAGTCCTTCTTCCTCGTTCTTCCTTCAAGCGCTAAATCTTCCCACTTGGCTCTGCTAAGGCCCTTCTAGACAACCGTGTCAAGCTCCAAACCCAAGCCATTCACGGCGTTTACATCCGTCCAAGACCATCCCCAGCAGCTGGAAAGGTCGTTCTTCACGGCCAGCTTGGCCGCATTTCCTCGCTCCAGGGCAGTCCCGGCACTTAATCCTAAGTTCAAGAGTGTGGATGTTTCGAGCGGGAAGGAAGAATCCATGCCCGAGAAAAGAGAAGAGAGCGACGAAGATGGAGCGCCCTCCTTAACTTCTGGAGGACAGGATGAAGAAAAACTGGTCGACGATGAAGTTCCTCTGGCAAAGTCTGAGGAGGAAGAGATTCTCGAGGAAGGGATCTCGTTTGAGAAGATCGAGGAAGAGGCAAAGCGTGCTGTGGAGCCTATGCCGAGTGTGATCATCCTTGGAAGGCCAAATGTTGGTAAATCTTCGCTATACAACAGGTGAGATGCTTCATTTTTCTCTTGGTTTTGGATCCGTCGGAGGTTCTCAAAATTTTCCTTGGCAGGCTTGTACACAGAAAAGAAGCCATCGTGTATGATACTCCGGACAGCCATGTAACACGCGACATTCGCGAAGGCTCCGCAAAGCTCTCGGACTTGCGTTTCAAAGTTTTCGACTCGGCCGGGCTGGAAACCTCCGAAGAAGGCGAGACTGTTCTTGCGAGGACAACGGGATTAACAGCAACGTTTCTTCGAACTTGCCATGCCGCTCTCTTTCTGATCGATGGGAGGTGAAACTTTCCCTTTTCTTGTCCTCGCAGCAAAGCTTTAATATTTTTTCTGTTGTTTCTTTCAGGGCCGGTGTGAGCCCTCTGGACAAAGAGGCTGTCATGTGGTTTCGCAAACTCAACTTGAATCTCCCGGTTGTTTTGGTGGTGAACAAAGCTGAGAAAATCACAGGCGATCACCAGATAATGGCAAACATCGCGGAAAGCTATAGCCTCGGGCTTGGCGATCCTGTCCCGGTTTCAGCAGAAACTGGAGAAGGTTTGGCTGATTTGTTCCAACGTCTCCAGCCGATTTTGGATGCCGCAAAAGAAAAGCTCGTCGACGAAGAAGAAGGTGAGACGTTTCTTCTTCTCCTTGTTTTTCTAACTTGTGTTTATCGTTTTTGACAGAGGAAGAGAAGAGCTTAGGAGGCCAAAAGCCTCTGCGTCTTGCCATCGCTGGTCGAACAAACGTTGGGAAATCCACAGTGATAAACTCACTACTACGAAAAGAGCGAGTTCTCACGGGACCAGAGCCGGGGCTTACGAGAGACGCCATCACGATTGACTTTGAGTTTAACAAGAAGCCAGTGCGTCTGGTAAGCTAGCATCTTTCGTTTGTATAGAAATCCGTAACGTTCTTCTCTTCTCCAGGTTGATACTGCTGGATGGATTCAACGCTCCCAGCTGGAAGAAGGTCCCATGGCTCTCAGTGCTATGCTCGCTCGAAGAAGCTTAATGACTGCTCATGTGGTGGCAATAGTACTCGACGCGCAAGAGGTTTTTCCTTTGTTTCTTTTCTCTCTGTGTGTGTGTGTGTGTCTTTTTTTTTTACCTTCTCACTGTTCTGTAACTTTGGATTGTAGATCGCACAGTCAAAGATGACACTTCGAAACTCCGAGGCAGCACTGGCACGATGGGTGACCGACGAAGGCCGCGCACTTATCATCGTCGTGAACAAGATGGACGTTCTCAAAGGTCAAAAGAATGCCGACCTGAGGAAGAAACTCATGGAGGCAGTTCCCAAAGAAATCCAGCTTACGCTTCCTCAGGTACTGGAGTGCTTCCTTAGGCTGCCATCTTTTTATGATGAGCATTCAACAGGTGCTTGGAGTTCCTATCATCTTTGTCTCAGCTCTCAAGGGGCGTGGAAGATCGACGATCATGAAGCTCGCGTTCGAGGCTTATGACAAGTGGTGTACGAGGGTGTCGACTCCGAGACTGAATCGTTGGCTTCACAAGGTTGGTTTTTCTTTTTTCTTTCCTTTTGTATGGCTTTGTTGGTGCGATCATGATTTGTTTCATCGCGATGTGTAGGTGCTTGCTCGACATCCCAAGAGAAAAGACGAGAAGAGAGCAAAGCCGAGGTACATAACGCAGGTGAAGGCCCGACCTCCAACCTTTGTATTGTTCGTGGCGGGATTTTACAGCCTCGAAGATCACGAGCTTCGATTCATTTCCAACGCCATTCGCGAGGACTTTAACATGGGAGGAATCCCAGTTCGCGTTATCCAGCGAACCAAGAAAGAGCTAGAGGGTGTTTAACTGTGTATTATTCAAATAAAGTAGAAATTTAACTTAAGGGAGCTTTCTCACCCACCTTTAAATTAGAACTTTTAAATTAAAAGATTTTAATTTAGTTTAAATTTTTTATGCTATTCGAACTTTAACTAATGATAAGTTACCTTTAGTTTAAGAGGTCAATGATCATGAGATCCCCTACTTAGTGATTCGATTATAGTTAAAAACTCTACATTTGTTAGAGAAATTACGCACAAGATTACAAGTAGATCACGAGGCATGCACAAACGCTGTTGCTGCCACTCCTATGGAGCTCGCGCTCTTGCTTTGTTGAGCCACTGTGAACCAGAAAATCACGGCGGCCCGCGAGTATAACACGCGCACCTGTTGCAAGACGAGGCTCCCCACCGTTTTCACAGCGCAAGTCCCTCCCACTATCCGCGTCTCGATCACGGACAAGCCATCGCTCTTGCCTGGGAGATGATGCGCTGCTAGGCCACCCGCAGTTGTGACGATCGGACACGAGAGGTACTCGAGAGGATGCTCCTCACACTCGAGGGCGCAGCGATCCACCGTCAGGCTGCCACGCCTGTGTAGCAAGCAGCTCCCCAGCTCGGCTTTGATGGTCAGGTTGGCGATCTTGCCGTTTGCCGAGAAAACCAACGCGCTGCAAAGTGAGTGCTCGAGTTCGTTAGAAACAGGAAATCGAAGTTCTCGCTCGCAAAGGAGAAGAAGGAAATAAAAAAAAAACGACCTTTCGGAACCACTGGGGGAGATTAGCACCGTTTCCTCTGGAGAAGAGCCTCCACCCATCTAAGAATCCAAATGCCAACAACAAAACGGGGTGCTCATACGTTGGAGAAAGAAGAAACTTGCAAAAATACCGACCAAGCACAGCGGCTTGTCAATGGCAACGTTTGCAACTGCGTGGACTTCTCCAGGCCCGATAAATATCGTGTCTCCGGGCCTGATGAGAAAGAGAGAAGAATCCATTAGAATCGCGAAAAGGATGAACTAGAAAACTCCCAGACCTGGCCGCATTGACGGCGTCTTGCAAAGTTGCAAACTCGCCCGACTGAATAAAAGAATTGTAACTAGAGTTAGCAGTGGCCGATTGAACCCTCAGCCACATCCGGGAGTCGGCGATCAATTTGTGCCACCGGGAGCACACGCTCGCGGCATTGAAGCGATCTACACGAGCAGGAGCTTGGCATTGACGAAATCCCGGCGTGGGAAGACAAAATCTTCACCTGGAAATGGCGCCAGGAATCCCAGAACTCGCACCAGGCAGCCGTCGTCAAGGAGATTGATCGATGGCCGCCGCGATTCCTGCCCTCGCCCTCGCCTAGCGCTCCTCGAGCAGGGCAGCATCGCCAAAATCACCAAACCCTAAAGGATGTGACTCGTCGCCCGGAATCGATCCCCCTCCACCCGGTAAAATATTTGAAATAAAAAGTCTCGCGCGTACAAGACACGTGGCGGAACGCTAGTGGTGCTCAAGCGATCGCTCGCCGGCCATGCGGCTTGCCGCGTGCGTTACAAGGGTTAACCACGGGCAATGATCCACGCACAGTGATAGCTTTGTTAGCAGAAGAGTCGCGCGCTAGGGTTTTGTGTGACGATGATCGCGACGGCGCTGGGGTCGTGAGGAGGATCGCGGCGTGGCTGGAGCGCAGATCTGCCCAGCTCCATGCGAAATTCGATCCATCGTCACTCCCTCGGATTTCTTCGGCGGCCGGAAGGTAATGGCTCCGATCCTTGGCTGGATTGTGGATTGGATCATCGATAACAGGGGGATTTCGGTGATTATCGCACAGATCTGCGAGGAGCGGTGATCAGAGAGAGGAATCTGTGAGGGATTTCCATCAGCTATGAACCGGGAGCTTGCGAACGATCGTGGTATGCACTACTACCACGACGATTCTTACAGGAATTCCTCGGCGTCTCACTCGGCGCCCTCGTACTCGAGCGGCTACAACAATCCGGAGGCTGGGTACCAGATCAAGGAGCACAAGAAGAGCTCCAGCAGCCGATCGTGGGATTTCCGCAACGATCCGGAGATGAAGAGGAAGAAGAGGGTCGCGTCTTACAAGGTTTTCACGGTGGAAGGCAAGGTGAAATCGTCGGTGAGGAATAGCTTCCGGTGGATCAAGAACAAGTACTTGGAGATGCGCTATGGATGGTTCTAAGGAAAGAAAAAAGATGGTTTTGCTGTGGAATTCTAAGGCAAAGGTCAAAAGTGTGATCTCTGGAATATCAAAGAATATTAAATTCTAACATCGTTAACGGAATAAACTTTTTAAGTTGCTGTATATTTCGTTTGAGTGGAAGGCATATTCTGGGTAGAGGTTTTGTATTTGGATTCGTTTGGCATATTCGTTGCTTATTTATACTCGCTTTGCGCACGCGAGGGAGGAGGGTTATGGCGATTGGATGGCGCTCCGCCGTCGCGCTCGCGCTGCTACTGGCGCTGGAGGTAGGGATTTCGATTGAGCTCGATCGATGCTCGCTTCTTAGGGTAGAATGGGGGGTTTTGTGTGGCTAGAGCTGATTTTCGTGCTGTGTCCAGGGTTTGGGGCAATTTCCAGCGGCTTTGGCAGAGATTGAGAGTGTAAATGATCGTCTAGAGACGAGATTGTAAGTCGGATTTGGATTGTAGAGCAGCAAAAGTTGATCTTTCTTCGCAGGACTAAGCATGCGAAAAATCACTGCGCAATGTATGATGTTTGTGGACAACGAGAGGATGGAAAGGCGTTGAACTGTCCGATTTCGGTGCCTGCGGTCACGGTAAGTTTGTGTTCTCGTTTTTGTTTCTTGATAAGTTTGATGGGATTGGTTGTTCTTTGCAGCCGAGTTCTTCGTTCTCTCACAAAGTCCAGAGCCTTTGCCCGACTATTACTGGAGATGTCTGTTGTACTGAGCAGCAGTTTGATATTCTCCGGAGCCAAGTTCAGCAGGTACGATGCACAAACTTTGGAGTTGCTTTGCTGCTACTCTTAAGTCGCGACTTTGGCAGGCTGTTCCTTTTTTGACTGGATGCCCTGCGTGCTTGAGGAACTTTCTTAATCTTTTTTGTGAGCTCTCTTGCTCTCCCGACCAGAGCCTGTTTATTAACGTGACTTCTACGGTCCAGGTTCGTTTCGTTTCTATTTGTCTTTTGCCAACGAACAGTTTGCAGCAAAACTCTACGACGTCTACTGTAGACGGCATTGAGTTTTTCCTTTCCGAGGAGTTTGGAGTAAATCTCTTTAACTCCTGCAAAGATGTTCAATTTGGAGCTCTTAATACTCGAGCAATGGACTTTGTGGGTGGCGGAGCGAAAACATACAAAGGTATATTTTTTTTTCTCTCTTTGCATTTTTGGCTTGAGAACGGCTCTCTGTGTAGAGTGGCTTGCATTTATTGGCCGGCAGGCTGATTTATATGAACCTGGATCACCTTATTACATCAAGTTCCACACGTCAGCTAACGAGTCCTCGCCAATGTCACTCCTCAACACGAAAATGTTTCCATGCTGGGATGCGTCACTCTCTTGTTCGTGTGGCGACTGCCCGGGGGCCAAGGAATGTACAGAATCCTCTTTACCACCATCTCCTCAGAAGAACGCTTGTAGTGTCGAAATTGGCGGGACAAAGGTTCGCATCTTATCAGAAATTGTGCCCATCAGTATCAAGCGTTTTTCTCTTTCCAGATTCTATGTATAGACCTGGGGCTTGGAATCTTATACCTTCTGTTATTAGTGGGAATTGTGGCTTGGCTATGGGTTACTACTCGTCGTTACGAAGAACCTTCTGACGGAGAGATTAGAGAGGAACTTTTGCAATCAGAAGAGACGAATGGGGTGGAAATTACCCCGGTTGAGGTGGTGCATTAATTCATGTTCTTCATCACCTCATGTTTTGTGTGTTGCAGGGACTGGAAAAGGACGAAACATCCACACCTGAATCTCATGAACCTGTTCTGGAAAAGTTTTTGTCGAGATGGTTCAGGTGCGAGCCTCGTGCTTTAATTTGTTTGTTGTCATAACCTTTTACGCTCGCCAGGTCGCAGGGAACGTGGATCGCTAGACACCCTGGTGTGGTTCTGCTTCTGTCGATACTCGTGACCATAATTCTGTGCATTGGGCTTGTCAAAATGAATGTTGAAACGAACCCTGAAAACGTAAGCATTTCAGTCATTTTTTTGGGTTTTTTTTTTCAAACTCACATATTTCGTGCAGCTCTGGGTTAGTCCCGGGAGCGCAGCAGCGACAGAGAAAAAGTTTTTTGATACGGAGCTTACTCCTTTCTATAGAATTGAACAGGTAAACGTGAGCATCGCCTCATGCCTAATCATGCTTTGCGTTTTTAGCTGATCTTGGCAACCCTTCCGGATGAAAACGGAGTGTCTCCTCCTATTTTGACAGATGACAACCTTAAGCTTATGTTTGAAATCCAAAATAAGGTAAAAAATTATTAGATTTGTGCTCGCAGTAATTCATAAAAGCAGGTTGACGATTTGAGAGGAAACCTTTCTGGAAGAATGGTTTCTCTCCAAGATATTTGCATGAAACCTTTCGGAACAGTTTGTGCTACGCAAAGTGTTCTGCAGGTACGCAACTGTCTTCCCTGACTCTTAATAATTTGTGTTGCTGCTGCAGTATTATAAGATGGACCGCCAAAAATTTGACGACGATGAGGGAGCGAGCCATGCGGCATTTTGCTTTGATGTAAACTTCTCCAAAAACTCGAGATGCTTCTGTTTCTCTAATATGCTTTTTTACTTGATTAATTTTTCTTTCAGCATTACTCGTCCTCGGAAAATTGTCTCAGTGCATACCAGTCGCCTGTGGATCCTAGTACAGCCGTTGGTGGTTTCGAAGGCACAAATTATACTCAGGTATAAAAATAACTTCGAGAGTGTTAATGATTTTCTCTGAATACGTAGGCTACTGCGTTTGTTGTAACATATCCCGTCAACAATGCTGTGAGCAGCACCGAAGGTGCAAATGATGCTGCTATTGCCTGGGAGAAGGCTTTTGTGCGTTTGGCAAAGGTAAGGAACTTACCTCGATATATGTGTTCTATTCCATGAAATTCGCAGAAAGAGCTTCAGCAATTGGCAAGTTCACACAACTTGACTCTCGCATTTTCGTCTGAGAGCTCTGTACAGTCCGAGCTAGAGAGAGAAAGTTATGCGGATGTTGTAACGATTCTTGTAAGTGTTTCAATGATGGATTCATTTTCTTGAACAATGGCTTGCAGGTGAGCTATCTGGTTATGTTCTTGTATATATCCTTCACTTTGGGAGATTCATTACCAGAAGTTGCTCCGTTTTATGTCACGTCCAAGGTTGGTTTCGCGAAACTTTGACTCCAAATTAACATTGAGTTGCAGGTGTTTCTTGGTTTAGGAGGGGTTATCATTGTTGCATTCTCAGTTCTAGGATCTGTTGGTTTTTTCAGTGCTGTTGGTGTTAAATCCACGCTTATCATTGCTGAAGTCATTCCATTTCTTGTCCTTGCGGTAAGCTATTGTTACTTGGTCCGTTAGATTAGAATTGATCAAATGCTGCTTCAGGTGGGAGTCGACAACATGTGTATTCTAGTGCATGCGCTTAAACGCCAGGAACCTGAACTTCCTCTCGACCTTCGAGTTGGATATGCTCTTGCCGAAGTAGGTCCATCTATCACACTCGCAAGCCTTGCAGAGTTCTTAGCTTTCGCTATTGGATCGTTCACGCCCATGCCTGCCTGCCGTGTGTTTTCTATGTTCGCGGGTAAATGTTGCAAGTTTCCTGACTTGTACTTACACTCTCTTTGAATGCAGCTTTTGCGATACTCTTAGATTTTCTACTTCAGATTACGGCTTTTGTTTCTCTTCTTACTTACGACTTTACGAGAACTGAAGCGAACCGCGTAGATTGTTTGCCTTGTATCAAAGCCCGAGAGCGTGACTACAATGCAGGATACCGTATGTAGTTCCCATCTGTGCTCTGCTTTTGACATAATTTCATTTTCCAGCGAACCGTGAAGGACTCAGAGGGGAAGGAGGAGCTGGTCTAGTTTCTGTTTATATGCAGGTAACGTTTCCGCTTTTTTAAAAACTACTGCAGCGTGTTTGTTTCAGAAAGTGCACGCACCGTTCCTTCTCAAGCCTGCTGTGAAGGCCGTTGTCCTGGCAGCTTTTTCTGCTCTACTTCTAGTGAGCATCGTAAGTAGATGATGACGAGATTTTTCTTGTTGCTCACGTCTTGGTTATGAAGGCACTTGCTGTAAGGCTTCCGGCTGGTCTGAACCAACAAATTGTCCTTCCTCGGGATTCTTACTTACAGGTAGTGCGATATGCTGTATGAAATGAATCTATGAACGTTTCTTGCAGGGTTATTTCAACAACGTGACAAGTCATTTAAGAATAGGACCTCCTCTGTATTTTGTGGTTCAAGACTATAACTACAGGTTCGCAGTTTTTGTCGTCTAGTTTCATCTAATAACTAGCTTTGACTATGCAGCGCACAAAGTAATCAGACCAACAAATTGTGCTCTATCAGTCACTGCCATCCAGACTCACTGCTTAACGAGGTCTCGAGGGCCGCCCTTACGCCTCAGACAAGCTTCATAGCTAGACCGGCGGCTTCATGGCTAGATGATTTTCTCGTTTGGCTGTCTCCGGATGCATTTGGATGCTGTCGTACTTTCCCTGACGGCAGTTACTGCCCTCCTGATGACCAGGTATCGTGCTTTCTAGTTTATTTCTATGGTTTGAGAGCTGTTGACTCCGCCAGCCCCCTTGTTGTCCTGAATGGGAGGACTACTGCGGTTTGAGTGAGACTTGCAAGGACTGCACTACGGTACGTTTTATCTTGCTTTGAAATTTATATTGCGTGCTCAAATGACATATCTTTATTTTTGTAGTGCTTCCTCCAGTCTGATTTGATCGACGGGCGTCCTACCACTGAGCAGTTTAGAAAGAAACTACCATGGTTCTTGGATGCGTTGCCGTCTGCCGATTGTTCGAAAGGAGGTCGAGGCGCATACTCCAACAGCCTCAACTTGAGTGGTGAGTAAGATCATCTCTAGTTTTGTTCTTATATCTCGTCCTTTGAACAGGTTACAAGAATGGAACTATTAGAGCATTTGAGTTCCGCACCTATCATACAGCTCTCAACAAACAAACTGACTATATTGATGCGTTGAGAGCTGTGAAGGACTTCACCGCTCGCGTGTCAAAGTCACTAAACGTGAGTACTTACAACTTTAAGTTTTCTTTTTTCTTATGAATGTTCGTGTGCAGATATCAGTTTTCCCATATTCAGTTTTCTATATTTTCTTCGAGCAGTACTTAGACATATGGAAGAACACACTGATCAGCCTCGTGCTCGCAGTTGGTTCGTAGTTTCTGTGGCTTGCTTGGTATAATCTAACTGTAGCAATTGTGAATTTCAGCTGCCGTATTCCTCGTCTGTCTAGTTGTGACCACCAGGTTCGTGATCAATCACTTTTCGCAAGGTCTAAAACGTTTTTCTGGAATTTTTTTCTTCTGCAGCCTAGCTACGGCAGGAATCATCCTTCTCGTCATTTTAATGATAGTCATCAACTTACTCGTAAGAACTCGAAGTGAAAAACTCTCGGTTGTTTCATAACGCGATGAACTTGTGAGTCACAGGGGCTCATGTCAATCTGGACCATTCAGCTGAACGCTGTCTCGGTCGTCAATCTCATCATGTCCGTGGGGATTGCCGTGGAGTTCTGCGTTCACATCACGCACGCATTCTCGGTTAGCACAGGCGATCGATCAATGCGAGCAACAAAAGCTCTGACAACAATGGGAGCCTCCGTGTTCAGGTCTGGTAAAACATTGTCACTGCTTTGTTTGATCTTTTTTCTTGGTTACTGCAGTGGGATCACCTTAACCAAACTCGTCGGAGTCGTGGTTCTCGTCTTTGCTCGCTCGGAGATCTTTGTGGTAACGATTTAAACCTTGCTTTTGGTTGATTTGTTCTAAGCTTGGAGTTCTCAGATCTACTACTTTCGAATGTATTTCGGATTGGTGGTTTTGGGATTTCTCCACGGCCTCGTCTTTCTTCCAGTGAGTCGAGATTATTTCTTCTTCTTCTTCTTTGTTCTTGGTTCTCACGCAAGAACTTTTTTTCTCTCCAGGTTCTCTTAAGCATTTGCGGTCCACAATCAGTAAGCGCTATGGATTGATCAAAGCAAAGAAAACGAGCTTTTGTACATTTGATAGAATTCACTAAGTTAGAATAAACGAGTGAAAAAGTCCGTTAGCGAGCTGTGGTATAAAAGCTTCTAGGGTTTCGCGGGTAGGGCAGGGAGCGAAGGAGGAGCGACGATGTGCGCGCTCGAGAATCCGGGGGCGGCGCTGTGCGATCACGTCCAGCGCCATGGCCTCCAGGGCCATCTCTTCTCCGACATCACGGTTTGCTTCCAGAGCAAGGATTACAAGCTCCACCGGATCATCCTCTCGCAGAGCCTCTACTTCAAATCGCTGCTGTCCGGGCCCTGGAAGGAATCCGGTAAGCCGCGCGTGGAGCTCAAGATTGACGATCACAATGTGACGGTGGAGGGATTGGAGATCGCGTTTGCGTACTTGTATGGAGTGGCGCCGGCGTTTAGCAACGAGAATGCGGTGGGCGTTCTTGCGGCTGGATGCTTCCTGTGCATCGAGAATTTGTGCGAGCAGTGCGTCCAGTTCATGGTGAGTGATATCAGAGTGGAGACCTTCCTGGCTTATCAGCAGCTGTCGGAGCGGCATTGCTATGGACACCATGCCGAAGGAATTCGCGATGCCTGCTGGAGCTACCTTTGTTTCCATGCTGCTCGAGAGCTCTCCCACGTACTATCCAAGCTTTCTCTTCCGGTAAGTCGTGTTTCTTCCTTCCTTTTGTATGTCTTTCCCGCTAGAGCATGTTTTGAAAAGTTTTTGTGGTTTGTGAAAAGTTCTGATGGATTTTTTTTAATCAGCTGCTTTGCCGGCTACTAAAGTCTGACGAGCTCTGGGTGACGAACGAGTCGGAGAGATACAAGCTTGCGAAGCAGGCTTTGGTAGACTGGAAGCTTTCGCGGAGAACTTCCAATGTGGAGGGTGGATCGTCAAAGAGGCAGCGGGTTGCAAAGTCGAACTCCGCAAGGAAGGCCGCCAAGACAGCCTCGGGCAAGAGCAAGGACAAAGGCAGCAAGCCAAGCTCCAAGGACAAAACCAAGAAGAAAGGCGAGGCCTCGAGCGAGCAGAAAGCCGCCTCGTCGCAGCAAAAGGAGGATTTGAGCTCGACCCCGCTAAAAATGTTGAGAAGGCTCTGGGACGAAGACGCGGCCGAGGAAGCAGCAGAGGTTTCATCAAAGGACGGGTTTGAGATGGTGATGGACTTGTTCTGCGGTGGGGGCATCACCTTTGCTTACATGGACGCCAACGAGGGGCTCCAGGCGAGAAAAGAGCTCGAGGACGCCAACATGCCGACGGACGTCGTCAACGACGCGATATGGCAGAACGTTTTGCTCAAGACCCGGGTGCTCGGAGGCACACCTTGCGAAGAGGAAGAAGAAGACTCCGACTCCTCCGAGTCGGGCGTGTCCGGCAGCTCCTCCGAGTCGAGCGAGTCGGACTGGAGCAGCCCGGACGAGGACGAGGCCGGCAACGCGAGCAGCGGCGGTGAGGACTCCGGCTTGGACAGGGCAGCAGCGAGCAGTGCCGCGACGCTGGTGCCTTTCTCAACCGTGGACGAGTGTTCGTTCGATGGCAAGAGGAGGAAGAGCACGGGGGGATTCAGCTGGTCCGCGAAGCTCCACAGCGGGATGCAGATGAGCGACTTCCCGCCGTTTCGATTCGGGACGGAGTTTACGTTCACGGACAAGGCGTGGTACTGCTCAAACATCGAGAAGGACGTGTTCTTCGGGGGCTCGAGGTGGAAGGTGACGATGTCGTGCACCGGGGACGAGACCTGGTGGGTTGCGTTGCACTGCCGGCCATGCACGTATCCCTTCCAGCCGCATATGTACGTGGACCAGCGAAAGGTGGTGCGCTTCGCCGCCAAGCTTTTCATGCGGACGTCGAGCGGGCTGCAGTGCGTGACGGGGACGGGGCAGAGGAAGTGCAAGTCCCACGTCGGGGTCACCTTGAGCGCCAAGGACATTCCGAAAGACAAGCTCTTCCGGGTGGTGGCGGCGGTCCAGCTTATGGAGGACGAGAGCAAGGCGAAGACGCAGGCCAAAGACGAGGAAGCTTGACAGGCTGCTGCGCTTCGAGATCCTCCTCCTCGTCTGGATCCCGGCCAGCTTCCAGCGGAGCAAATAATTTTGAGGTAGACATCCAGCCCTTCTCTTTTCGTTTTTTCGTTTCCAGTCGCTGCTTGTTCATACCGTGGTACATGGTTGTTTTAGTGAGAGGTGATGAAGAACACAACGCGGCTAGCTGCAGAGATTTTTATTTTGGCGAAGCATTCAAACGGTAAAGCTTCACGAAAACGTAGGGAAAAATTATTTAGCCTCGACTTTCTTCATGTTTTAACACCTATAGCTGTTAGTTTGTAATTGCATAGAAACGTTCCACTCACAGAAGAAGCGAGCTGGCGAGTACTCGCGATTCCGGAGCGACGAGTTTGCTACGCGGACAAAACGAGAAAGAGTACACAGGTAGAGCACGGAACAAGGTTTGGTTCTCTATTTCATGGGGGACCTGATGAACAGCAACGCAGCACCAGTGATACCACGCAGGACCAACAGCCGCGAGTCGACGTAAGTCGCACAGGCGAGCTTGGACACTGCAAAGATCTCTTTTGGGAGCTGGAGCCGGACCTCCTGCACGATCCGGCGGGCCCAGTCTGCGTCCGGCAGGGCCTCCTCCAGCTCCATGCCGATGTCGAACTCGTCCACGTCCAGCCGGATGATGGGGAGTGACTTTGGCGCGTCCTTTGGGAGGAAGTGGCCCAGTCCTTTGCGCTTTCTGGTTGCCGAGCTCTCCACTTCTCGCAGCCTCTCCAGCGCCGGGCTCTGGTCGATGACTTCGGTGTCCGTTTGGTAGAGGCGCTCGCCTTGCCGGAGCTGGATGTTTGTGGCGTTGATTTGGATCCGGCCGCTGTTTCCAGACTTGTCGTGAGGCCAGTTTGTGTCGCTCGGGAGCACTGTGAAGGTCACGTCCACTGTTGAGGCGAGAGTTTGGCTTGTCACGGAGATGGTTTGCATTACGTCTTTGATGAGAACTGGCGGAGAAGCCTGTTGGAGAATGAGACGAAAGTTACTTATTGGTTGGAATGAGAATGAGAATTTCTTACCTGTCGCGTTGTAAGTCCAATTTGCCTGCTTGTGTGATAGATGAGCCTCCATTTTCCTGGTAGCGTTTTCATCCAATCCTGTAGATCAATATCAATATCAACTTTGACTGGAGCTCTGATCTTTTACCTCGCGTCTTGTCGTGAAATTTACTCGTTCTAGAAGATCAATGAGTTGTGCTAGCCTGTTTCGCTGGTAGCAGAGAAACGATTGTTTTAGAAGATATAAAGATATAAATTGTGAGTGTACCTGATGAGTCATGTAAATGTATTCTTCTACAATTCTGATCGCAGCGGAGCCTAGACTCCAGCGTATCATATCAATGGAGGAATTCACTGGCCACCTTGGTCCACACAGAAACGGATGCCTTAATGCATCTGTGCAACTGTCGTAAACACGAAACAATTATAAGCCTATCTTCGTCGTTCAAAAGAGATGGTCGAGACAAAGGTACCTGATTCGGTTTCCAGGATCAATGGCAAGCATGGCTGCTAACAAATTCCAGCCAGCGCCACCATCTCTATCGAGAATCTACAAAAAGAAAAGAAAAAGTTTTTAACCAGAGATAAATTATCCGGCTCAAACCTGTAAGCCTGTGCTTCCAGAAGGCGATTTGGAAAGTAAATGGGGGAGGAGGAACTCACGGAGGCCTACAGGATCATGGCCCTGTATTAAACAACGCGGGGTAAGAGCGTTTCTCACCGTAGAAACGAGAGAACCTTTCTAAGAAAGGTTTTGAAGTGAGAAAAAATTAAAGGATCCATGAGTTCCCGAAGGACCATTCGTGCCATCACATAGCCTACGCATCTGTACTTTTTCACGTTAACCTTCAGGTTTCTAAAGAAAAAGCCTTTACCTTATGTCATAAGCGATGATTTGCTTGCGACGATTCTTGAGCTGACTCCCAGATGGCACAGTAACTTGATCATCAACTTCGGAAAATTCTACTGCATTTGCTAAAATTCCAACCTGTGCATTCCAACTCTTGGTTAAATTCCCATCACGAAAGCTACTTGCCTTGACGTGCCTATCGGCCGCACTAATGTGAATATTGTTCAATCGTAATTCAGTGTGAGCAAGACCTTGGCTATGTAAGTAGTTTACCTACAAACAGCCGATTAGAAGCAACGAAAAAAAAAACCATGAAATCAGAAGCTTACCCCGATTAAAATGTCGCGCATTATCATTCGAACAAGTCGAAGTTGTCGAGTCACCTCCGGGCCACCAGTTGTATGATCTCCCACTCTTCGAGCAGCTTCCTCGCCGAGTGCAAGCCTTTGCTCGAGATTTGGCAGCCAGTCCACACAAAGTAGCCATTGGTGTAAAGAGCATCCATAGTACTGCAAAGAAAACTTTCTTCGTCAAGAACAACGGAGTGAGAAATTATCGAAGAACTTACACCATGGACAAGCGTTAGAGAATCTTGGTCGGACGACGGAATAAAGCCATGCACTCGTGTCGCATAAGAATGAAATATATCTTGCTTACAAATCAGTTTGGAGACTATCTGAAAGGCTGTCAAAGATTTTTTTCTCGAGCGACAAAGAAAAGTACTGACCTCTAAAGCTCGTTTTCCTCTACGCTGAGCTCGAGCACCGGTTAATTGCCTGAGAACCACTCGCATGCCTTTCAAGTCACTGCCAAAGAGATCTTAAGCTTCAATTGCCAGAAAATAAAATCACGAAGTGAATCAACCTGCTGGGACTTTGCACCACTCCTTCAAACAAGAGCTCATCGCTCTAAGAAAACCAAACCAAAGTTCTTTAAGTCAGAAAGAAGACTACCATTAAAACAATACTCACTCTCCCTGACAAGCCGATGCTAACGTGAGGACAGAGCGAAAAATCCGAGAGCTTGAACTCCTTGTAGCTCGCCGGACTCGCTTCAGCCGCATTCTTGGAGGAGCAAATGATAGATTTCGATCGACGTCCAATTGACGCGCACCCAGCTGATCCCAGCGATGACATCGGCGTCAAAGGCCTTGGATCACGCAGCCAGAGATCAGCGCGGCTAGAGATCGCCATGCCGCGATCGATCCAGCTGACCTAAAACAAAACAGAGAAGCTAACGTGTGTATATGCACATTTGATATTTCAAAGCACCCAATGCGACATAGCCACGTGGAAGCTTACACAGCACGCGCCAGCGTAGGCCAGCCACGGTATGCCACGGTTCTGCCACCTGGGATTACATGCCACCCTAAGGCCACGTGGATATCTGACACGCGTCAGAGGATCTCTGCTAAACACGTGGCAGCATTATTTTAGGGTTCTAGTACAAGAATGGCCATGGTAGCGCGCATTTGGTCTTCATCTCTATTTCCAAAGGCGCTGTCCAAGAAATCGGCGAGGTAACTGCATTGGAGAGAAGAAGAGGATCAAGATTTGGAGGTGTGACTCTCTTTTAGGCAGATCTTGCTCGCAAATGGCGTCGTCCCAGCAAGAGCATTGCTCCACCAAGCAGTCGTCGCTACTCCCTGGCTGCGCGGATTCCAATGGCACCTCGCTCTTTGCAAAAATGTTCGCTACAACAGCTGGTAAGTGCGTGATTGTCTCGATCGAATGTTTTTTCTTCTTGGATTTTCTTCTTCAAGCAAGGAGATAATTTTCTTTCTTCTCTTTGCTTTTTCGGTAGCAGCTTGTTCTTTCTTCTTTTCTTTCTTCTCGTCTCAAGTATTTTTGTTTTGTTCTCCTGAGGAGCGTGATTGTCTCGAGCGAAGTTTTCTTCTTCTTCGATCTTCTTGTCGAACAACGATTCCTCTTGCTTTTTCATGGCAGCTTGTTCTTTTCTTCTTTACTTTCGTGGTGCTCGTCTCATGTTTCTTGTTTTGTTTTCCTCAGGAGCTGGAAACTATCGGAGTCTTCCGGCACAAACTAGTACAGGCGATTTAACCGTCTCGTCCCTCGGACTAGGAACATACCTCGGTCCAGAGACCGATGTCGCCGATGAAGAGTACAAAAACGCTGTTTTGCGTGCTCTGGCGCTCGGGATCAATGTGCTTGACTCGTAAGTTTGATCGCAACATTTTCATTTCGATCTTCTCCTGATCGATGCTTTGCCTGTTCTGTGTAGAGCGATAAACTACAGGAACATGAGGAGCGAGAGAGCCATAGGACTCGCTCTTGCTGAGGCCGTGTCCCGGGGAGTGGTAAAGAGAAACCAAGTCGTGGTTTGTACCAAGGGTGGCTTCTTAAGCTTTGATACAATCCGTCCTCCAAATCCTCGGGGCTGGATCGAAGAAAATTATGTCCGGCCTGGTATTTTTGCGTGGGAGGACTTCGTGGCTGGCTGTCACTGCATGAAACCAGAATACATCAAGAATCAGGTTGGAAGTTTTATGTATCTAGAACTTGACTCCCCTTTTTGTTTTCTTCTTTTGTTTTGTAGCTAGACAAGAGTCGAGCCAATCTGGGCTTAGAAACCATTGACGTTTACTACATCCACAATCCAGAAACTCAGCTCGGGGAGGTGTCCCGTGAAGAGTTTTACAAGCGGATCAAGGCTGCGTTTACGGTGCTGGAAGAAGCTTGTAACGAAGGCAAGGTTGGGATCTATGGGATCGCAACATGGAATGGATTTCGAGTTCCACCCGAGTCGAAGGGCCACCTTTCACTGGAAGAACTAGTTCGCGCTGCGTATGAAGCTGGTCAGTCGTTTCACTTGTTTGTAATGGTTTTTGTTCTGATCAAAGGTTTTTTGCTTGTTTTCCAGGAGGAGAAAGACACCACTTTAAGATCCTTCAGCTCCCATACAACATGGCGCTTCAGGAAGCAGCGAATAGCCAAACGCAGCTCGTGCAAGGGATCAAAATGACATTGTTGCAAGCCGCGAAAGAGCTTGGTATCTCAGTCGCGACTTCAGCATCGCTGATGCAGGCAAGTTCTCATGGAAAAGCTTGCACTTTTTCTTCTCTTTTTTCTTGCTTCGGTTCTTATAATGGCTCGTTTCGTTAGGCAAAGCTTTGTAACTCTATCCCGGCCGAGGTCCTCAAAGAATTCTCCCAAGGTGACAAGACGCTCACTGGCGCTCAGTGTGCCTTACAGTTCGTGCGAACCACGCCAAACGTTCTTGTAGCACTCGCGGGCATGCGCAGAGTAGAGCACGTCGAAGAGAACGCCAAGCTCATCGAGCTTTCGGCGGAGCCCAGCACACTTCACAATTGAAAACACCATGTCTTCGGTATGTCTTGAACCGGAATTATATTTCTATCGCAAGCTATAGCGTGGAGACATTAACTTTGATACCATTCACCATTGCTAACACCATGAGCAGCCTGTAGTGGACAACGTGATCCTTCACTAGCTCAAAGTTAAAGAACCTCATGAGCATCGCGGCAGTGATCTTGGCCTGCAAGTAAGCGGCATCCTTTCCCAAGCAAATTCTCGGCCCGGCCTGGTAGAGTTTTCAAGTTTTAGTCGTGATGAACTAGAGATAAAGAGAGATCTCTCATACCTGGAATGCGGTGTAGACGAATGGTGATTGAGGCTGGTATTCGGAGTTTTTAATCCACCTCTCCGGCTTAAACTCTAGAGCGTCAGGTCCCCACAGAAACTCCATTCTTCCCATGGAGTATTGCACGTAAGCCACAGAATCCCCACGTTTAACTTTAGTCCCGTCCGGAAGAACATCATCGTTGGCTGCATACTTTCCATCCTGGAGAAAGCTCAAGTTAGTCAGCTCTTTACTGGTGTAAAGAAAGCTTGGTGGGACTTACTCGTGGTACCGGCGGGTATAAACGAAGAGTCTCGCTGATGCACGCGTGCAAGTAGTGAAGCGTGCGAAGATTCTCAGTGGAGAGGAGCTGTGCGAAGGCACTGAAAGTGAGTGTGTTGCTCTCACTCCCAAAGGTCCGGTCTAACTCGAGGCGAATCTCTTTGGCCACTCGAGGATTGTTGCAAATGCAGTAGATAAACCAGGACAAAGTGATGGCCGTCGTGTCTCGTCCAGCAATTATGAAGTTGAGGATGGCGTCACGAAGCTCTCTGTCATGATACGCATCGCTTGCTCCAGTGGAAGTCATGAATCGGGACAAGAGGTCCTGCCTTTCCTGGAAGACAAACCTGTAAGAAAAAGTCTTATTTGGGAGGAAAAAACTTACGTATTCCTTGCCAGATTTCTCGCAGGCTTCAATCTCTTGTCGTCGGTTTTCGATCACCTGGAACGTGAATGAGTCCAGTACCTGGATCTGGTTCTTTAGCTCCCGCTCAGAGCCCAGGTTGAGAGCTCGTAGGATTTTCCACACTGGCCCGATTAAGCGACGCACGATCAGCTCGTTAACTCGGTCGAAAGAAGCTGCGAAGGGAACTGCTGGTAAGGAAGGTGACAGAGTGTTTAGTTCCACTCCAAACGCAACCTCGCAGATAGAATCTAATGTCATTCGCATGGATATGTCCTGCCAAAGGAAAAAAAAAATTAAAAAAAGCTTGAGATTGAAATACTATTTCTCTCATAACCATACCTGGAAGTCGAAAGAGGTTTTCTTGCTTGCAATATTTTCCAACACTTCCATCATTCTCACAGCAGCCTTCCTGAAAACTTGGCCACTGTACTCGTTCACCTTCTTGGACGAAAATTCGTAGCTTGCAAGTTTGCGGTGCCGTTTCCACATCTCCCCGTCCGAATTGAAGATTCCATCTCCCATAAAGTCGTAGTTCCTGGCGTGCGAGACACGTCCCTACTCACCATACCGCAAGTAAGAACTTGAATCAGTAAAAACGAATCATACCTTGGGATAGTTAGCAAAATTTGTCTTGAGAATGTGCTCGACATTGGCAGGGTCGACCGTGAGAATGTTGTAGAAGGTCCCCCAGTCCACTGCAATCGTCCTACACTCGCTGCTGAAATAGCTAAGGAACCAGTCGTGAAGCACTGGGAAGTTCTTCACGACTTGGAAGTAAGAACCGACCAGAGGCCATCTCTTTGGTCCCTTGTGATCTCTTTTCTCCGCAGAAAGAAGCACCGCGAGGAAGACCGCAGCAGCAATTCCTGTGATGAAAACCAGAGGATTTGGATAGGAAAGACCTTCGAAAACGCCGCTGATGTTACGAACTTCGTCGGTGGAGTTCATGGCCGTGAGGGAGTTGAGGACGGAAGTGAAATGGATGGATCCCTCCCTCTTAAAGAGTGGTGGTAGGCAAGCCAGCAATACTGGGCTTAATCGCACTGATGGAGTTTTGTCGAGTGCGCGACAAAGTCCACGGCCTACAAAATCACAGTGTGAAGCGCGATGCAGCAAGTGATATAGAACAATACCTTGGAAGAAACCGCGATCTTACCGAAACTAAAGCCATGAAACTTCGTTTCATTGAAAACAAGACAGACTCCGCGTCAGCTTTAGAAAAACAGGACTTATCGACGAGAAAAATATATAAAACATTACACGATGGAAAAACAAGAGAAACTGTGAGGAAGTGGCACCATAAAAAAGTTACCTGATGATTAGCCACTGCACCGTTGTTGAAACTTATGAGATCATGATTCATCACGGAAAGTGTAGAGAACATATGCCTGGAAAAACATGAGAAGCTGTGAGAAATTGGCACCATAAAGATTTTACCTGGAGGTGATTAGCCATTACACGTTGTGAAACTATTCATCAGCCAGCCAGTCATCAGATGACGAGGTAGGAGTGGACGACCAGAGGCGACAGGCGGCCAAGTTGTGAGGATCCAAACGAAGAATCAGTCGAGCAACTCTTCCTCCTCTTCCTACGTCTCCATGAATCTTACACGACCCCAGTAATGCCATCCAGGCAGCAGCATCCGGCTCAAACGGCATATAGCTCAGCACTTCCTCTGAGTCCTCGAGCTGCCCGAGCCGTCCCAGAAGATCAACGATACATCTGTAATGCTCCAAGCCGGGACGCAGTCCATAATCGTCCTGGAGCGAGTGGAAAAACTCCAAGGCATCGGTCACCAATCCCGCGTGACTACTCGCGAACAAAACGCTCAGAAACGTAACTCGGTCGGATAGAACACCCTCCTGTTCCGTCTCCCTGTAAACTCCGCAAGTTCTCATCCTGTGGCCGTTCTCGGCAAAGCTTCCCATCATGGCGTTCCAGGTGATGAAGTTTCTCTTCTTCATCCCCTGGAAAAACTCGAGAGCCGAGTCCAAGCTTCCGCATTCCCCATACATGTTGACGAGCGCCGTCCCCACGACGAGGTCCGACTCGTAGCCGTGCTCGAGAATGCCCGAGTGAAGAAGCTTGCCTTGTTTCAATGCTAGCGAGTTTGAGCACGCGTCCAGAGCCGCAACGAACGAGGCCTTGTCGGGCTTCATGCCACTGTGACTTAACTTGCAAAAGAGCTCCAGTGCCTCGGTGTTGAATCCATTGAGAGCGTAGGCCGAGATCATGGCGTTCCAGAGGATCACGTCCCCTTCTTCGTCTTCCCGCGACAGCTTCTCAAAAACTTGATTTGCCTCGTCCCAGCAACCAAGAGTTCCATAGAGCTTGACGAGAGCTGTTCCCATGATGATATCCACCGGAAGTTTGGAGTTGATAACTTCTGCGTGGATGATCCGGCCAGTTGCAAGCTCCTCGAGCTCCGCGCACGAATCCAAGACGGTGACAAAGGTGACGCGATTCGGCTCCACTTCTTCCACTCCCATTCTTCGAAAAAGCTCGATCGCCCTCTTGGCCTCGCCGTTCTGAGAGTAGACTGTGATGACCGCTGTCCACGAGGCAACGTCGTGCTCGAGAAGGGGGACTCCCCTCGAAAACTCTCCGCGCGTCCTCGACTCGTCCACACTTTCCATACATGTTGACGATCGATGTGAAAACCATGGAGTCGAGCCTGGAGCTTAGAGCTGAATCCTCGATGGAAGAGTGAATCCCCTTGGCCAGAAAGAACTCTCCAAGGTTTGTGCAAGCGTCGATGACAGTGAGAAACGAGATCTCGTCAATCTCGACTCCCTCGAGATCCATGATAGTGAAGAGATGAACAGCGTCTTTGCAATGCCCGTTCTGGGCATATGCCGCCATGAGAGAATTCCAGGAGACCACATCCCTCTCGAGCGTGTCATCGAACATCCTCTTGGCCTCCTGGACGAATCCATTCTGCCCGTAGGCATTGATCATCACATTGCAAGGGATGGCGCTGAGCTCCGGGATGGAATCGAAGAGCATCTTTGCCTGGCGCATAAACCCTAGCTGGGCAAATCCCCCGACTACCGCCGTCCACGCCACCGCGTTGTGGCACGGCATCCTGGCCAGCAAATCCCTTGCCTCAGCGAATTTCACTAATGTCAATTGCATCCTATATCACTAGTTTCTTCCTCCATCTACCTATCCTTATTTTACTTTGGCAAGTTCTTGGATGCTGGAAAGGTTTCAGTAAAGCTACTGCTAGAAGGCACTTACCCCACCTTATAATACATATCTATGCATTCTTCGCCCCTTTCATGGATCGAATGTCAATTTTTTCAAGCCAAGATTATACTTGCTTCCACATATTTCTCAATATTCTTTGCAATCTTCTTTTGGTTTGCCAATTCTATTGCTTTGTTCACCTTGTAGAAACATTCTCATAACTTGAACTCAACTATCTGAGTCATACCCTATTCATAAGAATCCTGCAACATAATTTTCATTGGATCCCCCTTGAAGTGTTAATTAGTGACTATAGATGCTAAACAATCTTACTGTCCTTTGGAGTCTTCATCGCAAATTTATACAGAAGTCTTCAATTGTCCAAGATGAAGAACCAATCACCAAATCTCAATTTCACATCCCTTTAAATGCCCCATAAAGTCTTGAATCCCAACTAGTCTCATGAACATTGTACTCCTAGCCCATAGTAATATGCTATAAGTTAATCAGCCATTCACATGAATCTAATGCATATGGTTTTCACTTTATACTTTATAGTGATTTATTATAGCCATGATGATTCAATGATCAAAATACGCAAGTTCTCCCCTATATTATTGCTAAACTATAGGCATTCAATAGATTGATTTGGCTGGATGATTGTATGGACCTAGAAAACCTAAAGAAGCATATCTATACCAATGCTAGGCAATATGTTAAGTAAAATTTCTGGTAGGGTCTTTAGCATGTCTCCATCATCATGGAGTGGGAAAAACCTACCCATACCATGTTTGCCACTTATTTTGGCTTGTCAAATACCACTTGCCACACTATTATATACATGCATTCTTTCATCCTATTGGCATAGCTATTGCTAATCTTTAATCATGGTGTAGAAGCTAATTGAGATTGTCCTCAAAAATGGCTTCCACTGACTCCTCCTAAACCTGTTTGGAGCCTCAAGTTGTCACCCTTTAGAGCATGTTTATAATGTTGGCATTTTGCGGCACAATGCCTCATGATCTTGGTTTTGGCAGAGACTTGAAACAGTCAAACGATAGTTGCAAACCCAATTAGATCTTGCAAGCTATTGCAAAAATGAATATCACCCATTTTTGATATACCAAAAATGGGTATATCAAAATTGCACCACTTTGCATGCAAGTCCCTTGAATTCAGGCAAAATAAGCTATATAAATTCAGTGTAATATAGTGAACAATGAGTCTAGCTAGCATTCTACATCCTAAACTTGCTTAAGTGAGATTTTGTTCTTGTCAAGCTACTGTAACAAGGAGTGCATGCAAGACTTGTTGTATCAATCACTTTCTAATAGTCTTCTATGGTAACACTTTAGAAATGGTGAATGTGATTTGAGCTTTAATAAACTAACAAATTTCAAATCATTTAAACTCTACCAACAGTGCAAATTGTCTAAATTCATCATAAGAATATTTTATATATTCTAGTAAATGTTTTATTGGGCATTTGATTATTCATTAGCTTCCTTTAGTAGATAAAGATACATTTGTCAAGACCTTTAATAAATCTTTTAGAATGTGATTACTATTATTCTGGGAATAAGACCCATAATCTTTTGGACCATATGGTTCATCTAGATACTCTTTAGTATTCATATAACCATCCTCCTTTACATCTTCTTGGTTAGGTTTGGTATTGAAAACTAGATTAGGTTGTTGGCTACAAGCGAATGAGCTTTAACCCTATCTACTAGAACCATACACTCAAAGCCTTTTTACAACTAGATCTCTACTTCATATGCTAAATAAAATACCCTCCAAAGCTGCAATCTAGGAAACCTTTAACATGCACCATGGAATGAGTGGGAGGTGTGAGAGAAAGATCAATGCATCAAAACATAGAAAATAAGTTATATAGAAGATGGACAACGTTCCAATCTCTGAATATTCTAGTTTATCTACCATAACAAACTAAATACATTAGATGGTTTTGGTCTATTTTTGCTCACCAAAAACCTTGAATATTCAATTTTTCACTACAACAGTTAGTTTAGTTTTGCTTTTCTGCCAAACTCTAAAAGCATAATGTGTCTAGTGGGTTTTATAGTATGGCTGAACTATTTTGCATTAGCAATGATTTTGGCAATAGTAAAGTACAAAATGTTTTTTAGCTTAACAGTTGCTATTGGTTTTGGTAGTGTATCTTTAGTAGTTGTTGTTGAGGCTCTTTTCCTAAATCATACGCTTTATGGTTGGTTGAACAACTTTTGCAATATCATAGTTGTGAAATTTGATATTTGCAGAGAACTCTTCAATATAGCAAGTAGAATCAAGAAATCTAGCACTCGAAGAAACAATAAATGTAACTTGCTAGATCATTAATTAACTAGCTATATATGATGAAAAAACTTACTTGTCTTACATTTATAATATTTTATCTTTTGATGTGTTATGACAATGTGAGCTTTACGTATGACCAACACACGGATTCTCTTTTCTTGGAGATATTCACTCAAGTCAGCCACACCTTGAACGGCATGTCTTGATAAGTGATATAGACAAGATCAGGTACAACTTCATCTATCGTGTTATTTACTGATGTTTTCTGCAATCCATCCTAAGAAACTCAGGATCAAACTATAAGAAACCAGGTACAGTGATGCGAGCGTCGTGTGCTATTGTGTTGGTGTTGTCTTTTTCTTGTTTTGTCATCATAGGAAAGCTGGAGATAGATGAAAAGCGGCCGTAGCTCTCTCCTCTGCAAGCTTCTCAACAGCAAAGTAATAGCAAGTTCATTTACAAGTCATTCGTTACAAGTTCATTCAGGACAAGTTCCTTCACTTGTTTATTCCCTCTAAAACCCGGCCTACGACCTTCTTTCTCTGCTCCGCTTCTCTCTTGTCCAGGTTAGCAAGAGCCCCGTTCATGAAACCTGCCTTGTACTCCTTGATATATCTCGTGGGAATTGCTGGCCCCTTCTGGAGGATGGCAGCCACATTCTTGGTCTCATAGCTTGCCACAGCCTTGCAGCATCCAAAGTCGAGTGCTGAGAATCTCGTCATGTTGTTGGCTCCCTTAGCCAGGTAGAACTCGATATCCCATCCGTCTAGATGAGCTTGAAAGACGAGAAAGCCGTAAAACTTCCCAAATTCAGTAGCCAGGGCCGAAACTTTGAGGTGGGGGAATCGCTCAGCCAGCCTTGCACAGCCCTTATCTGTAAACCGCACCTTGAGTAGCTGCTCATGTCCTTGGATAGGAAGAAGTTTCTCCATTGTGAATGCTGGGCAAGAACCGTGTTTTCCCAACACTTTCGCCGTCTGCAAGCCAAGCATGTGTCACACAATGACATGAAAATCCAATCCAAACCTCAGGGTTCCCGTAGATCTGTTCGAGAATGTGGCCAGGTGCACTTCGCAGCTCCGGGATGAATTCCATCGGTTTGGGAATCGACAATCCTTCTTCGCCATCGGCTCCAATTGCAATCCAACCAGCGTAGATTGCCTGGTATCTTCAAGCCCTGGATTCGCCACTTTGAGAACACAGTCATCCAGAAAGATGACAACACTCGTCTTTCCCTGATCAGGACTCAGCATTGCTCTCTCTCTCTCTCTTCACTCGTTTGCCCTGATCCTTGCCCTAGCCTCGCAACTCTTTCCCTCGCTGCTTCCTTGTCCCCTAAAGTCAAATTTGATTCGCATATTCTAATGTCGTCCCGCTCAAAATTTCAAAATTATTCATAGGAATATTCTACTATTCTATAATGTTATCAGGAAAAGAATAATATCAATGTATGTATGTACTATAATAATAGTCGTGAAATGAATGACATTTTGGCTCACTAGTTTCTTAATAGTTTATCAGTTTGAATAAAGAAGCATGAAGCTTTAGAAATGAAAACGAAGTTCAGTTATATAAAAAAATTAATTTTCTTACATTATATTTTAATATATATTAATAATAATACAATTTAAGTATTAAATATTGTTTCATGAAATAAAATTCACAAGATTAAGTTTGGTTATGAGTTTATATTCTTAATTATTTTAATATTGTTACAATCTAGATGAGTTTGATTCAACTTTTAAATGGTTGTTATTTATTTAGATTAATCTTGTATTTATAATTTATAGCATATTAAAAATTTATTAACTTTCCAAAGAACTTCCTAGTATATACCAATGTGCCAATGTGTTTATAAATTATAAACATTTTTTAAATTATAAAATTCCAAATAATCAGTTATATTAATAAAATAATAAAACTACTAATATTATAGTAAAATAATTTAATAACCTCACAGAAAACTATTATACAATTACATGAATTTTTAAAGATATTATTAGAATATCCTAGTATATTCTTTATACTACTGTGAGGGCCAAGTGTACAGCTACAATGCCATATACTAATATTAGCGTAGTGGATTTTGGTAGCCGTCGGATTGGTTTCAATCCGGACCACTCGCTCCTGTATATAAGCTAGGGTTTTTTGGGCTAATG